TGAATATGAACTGTTAAGCTTTTTAGTACTCTATATAGTTGTTTGGTAGTTATGAATTTATATTTCCTTGGGAAATAAAACTTGATTTAAGTCCTAGAGTTTTTTCAAAGTCTTGTTATACCTGAAGGGGAAAATACAATATTAACTTTAAATGCAGTTAAAGAATTAAGTGCATATAATGAGTAATACCAGATCATTCCAGACAATTTATATTTGCCAGATACTGATACTAGAAATAACGGGAAAATTCTACTTGGTATCTAAAGTATAATGATGCTCACTAAAGTTTTATGTGTTTCTTCATTTATGTAACAAATGTTTATAGAATCTCTTGCCAGGTATAAGAGTATAGTGACGAATAAGAGAGAGAAGGTTTCTGGTTTCGAAGAGCATATACTCTAGTGAGGGAAGCAGGTGTTGAGGAAACAAGTAGAGTGGTTAGAAATAGTGATAAATTTTATGAAGAAATAAAACAGGATAATGTGATAGAGAATGATGGGGACAGTGACAATAATGGTGGCAGTAACCATTAAATACGGTGGTCAGGAAAGATTTCTTGAAGGAATTGATGTTTGAACCAAGATCTGATTGACAGGGAGGAGCCTGCCACATAGGAATTAGAGCAATTGTAAAGATTTGAGTGAGTTTGAGGAACAGAATGAAGGCCTGTGTAGTTGACATCAGAGCGGGGGGAGAGTAAAAGAAGTTTGAAGAAGAAAGAGGAGACTAGACGCTGGAGAGCCTTATAGACTTTTTAACATAGATTTTATTTGAAGTACAGTAGGAAGGCATTGGAAAGTTCTCTTTTTATTTCTAATGACTTATATTCATATGATGTTATGTCAAATGTAGAGATATCTTACATATCTAATAACCAAAATAGAGTCAAGAAATTCAAATTGCTTAACTATTAGTGCTGTGTTAAATATCTGGAATTGTTTTCAAAACTGTAATATGTTATGGTTACTCCTAAAAATATCAGATACCAGTTAAATTTTTTTTAAAGCCAAAACTAGATGGAGAATATAAATTACCCAAATTACCAAATATCAATTATCAAAATTAACTCAAAATGCAAGACCTGAATAAAACCAGTAACTATTAAAGAATTTGAAATAGTAGAAGTTTTCCCTCTCTCCTCTCCTCTAACTAAAAATGGACCAAGACCGTCTTACAAGTGAGTCTTATCAGCTCTCAAAGAACAAATATATAATTGCTTAATAAAATAATATTAAAGAGGGAGAGGGAAGGAAAAGA